CATGTCTTTGCTCTTTGATCTGAGTCATTCTCTCCTGAAGTTCCTTTGCAATCACCTCCAGGAAGGACAAGATTCACTGATAAATGCTTTGTGGCAAAAGTCAAACTGCCCCTCAGACAGGCAGTGTCATCTTCTTATCATTTTGTGGTAAAAGACAAAACTGCTCCGAAGAGATCAGCCAGAAGCTACTGACCACCGCCTCTGTCCACAGTGACTGACTTGTTCCTGATCCCCTCCAATGATGAAGAGATATCAACTTCTCCAGAACTCCCCTAGAGACAAAGCCCCCACGCTAATGGCACATCAAGCCACATCTGTGACTTGGGCCTGCTTCCACTCACCCCTGTCCTCCCAGTTCCCTGTCTACTTAAAGCTAAGGCAAAGATCTGTACCCCTGAAGGCAGCTGAAGATGCCTGAAGTTGTACTGACATGTTGTCTTCCTGTGGCCGCCATGGAATAAATCTCCTTTCTCTGCGCTTCACTATGTCTCTTATTTGGAGCATAGGGCTAAGTGGCAGACCCTGACCATCTGGGCCTCCTGAGGTTTGAGTCTGGGGTCTAAAGCCCCCCTGTTTCAGCTTCTCCCACTGTATGGAATCACACCAGAACACAGCTAAGACCAGAGATGCAGAACAATTAAAACCAAACCACAAAGGGGGCATTGGCAGCTCACGCCTGTAACCCTAGCAACTCAAGATGTGGAAATCTGAGGATAACAGGTTGAAGCCAGTTGAGGCAGCAAAATCCAAGAGATTCTTGTGGCCAATTAACCACCAATAAGCTGGAAGTAGAACTGTGGCTCAAGTAGCAGAGCACGAGCCTCAAACCAAAGAGCTCAGAGACAGCACCCAATCCCAAAGTTCAAGCCCCAGTACTGACACAAAAGAAAAAAATCAGCTGGATGCTTGTGGTTCATACCCAGCTACTCAGGAGACTGAGAACTGAGGACTGAAATTCAAAGCCAGACTAGGAAAGTCCTGAGATGTCTGTCTCCAATTAACCACCAAAAAGCTAGAAGTGGAGCTGTAGCTCAAGTGGCAGCGTACTAGCCTTGAGCAAAAAAAGCTCAAGGACAGTGCCCAGACCCTGAGTTCAAGCCCCAGGCCTGGTAAGTAAGTAACTAAGTAAATTCTTCAAGAAGAATTACTTAGGAGGCAAGTTTTCCACATCCAAATGCAGTCATGCCAAGCATAGTGGTACACACCTCTAATCCCAGCACTCAAAAGACAAAGGCAGCTGGGTGAGCTTTGGATCACACCTGTAGTCCTAGCTACTCAGGAGGCTGAGATCTGAAGATCTCAGTTCAAAGCCAGCCCGGGCAGGAAAGTCCATGACACTCTTAGCTCCAGTTAACCACTCAGAAAACCTGAAGTGGCGCTATGGCTTAAGTGGTAGAGCGCTAGCCTTGAACTGAAGAGTTGAGGGACAGCACCCAGGCCGAGTTCAAGCCCATGGTTGAAAAATAAAAAAGGCCAAGAGATTATGCAGAAAAGGTGCTGCTGCATGGTTATCTGACACGTAAGCCCTAGAGGTACCTGTGACAGAAGACAAATATTACTTTTTGCCTTGGACTCTCCCTATCATTCTGCTTTACAATGCTTCTACCTTTAGGCTTCTGCAATGGGTGCTTTGTGCTTGGATATTTCAGCCATTACAATGTCTCAGGTACTAGAAATCCCCCAGCCAGAAAATATGCAAAGCCAGATTGGCTGACACCTTAATTCCTTCACCATTGAGCCGAAGGGGAGGAATTACAGCAGATACTTAAAACTGCTTTTATTAAAAACCACATGACTCTTAATGGGACCTGCAAATAGTTCTGCATTCTTCCTGTGCCTTCCTCCTAATCCTTCTTCATTCAGATCTCTAATTTTTTGGGGGGAAGAGGGTTGGGAGGTTGCACTACTGGTCCGACAGTGCCCCAGTCTTAGCAGCCCTGGCCACCTGAGCAGGATCTGGACCTTGAGTACTCTTGTTACCCCCAAATCATCAGGAAGCAGCCAGCCCTTCCCCGCAAGGAATTAAGGTCCTGAGCACTTGAGGGCACAATGTTAGCCTACGTAGGCATGAGGAGACAGTGCCATTCTAAACCCCAATGGCCCCTGCCCCAGACCAAAGATGAAGGTAATGGAGTTGTATTCTCCTTAGAAAGCCCATTCCCACGTAAAGGTCTGACATGCACCTTCAAGGCACACTTGAGGACGAGTAGATAGATTAGGTGACAGGGAAATTAAAAATAATTTTAGAAATGGTAAAAAGGATAGATTTAGAATTGAAGCAGAGGGTTGGGAAGGTGGCTCAGTGGTAGAGTGCTTGCCTTGCATGCATGAGGCCCTGGGTTCGATTCCCCAGTACCAAGCAGAAAAAAGCCGGAAGTGGCGCTATGGCTCAAGTGGTAGGGTGCTAGTCTTGAGCTGAAGAACTGAGGGACAGCGCCCAAGCACAGAGTTCAAGCCCCATGACCGACAAAAAGAAAAAGAATTGAAGCAGAGACCTCCATTTTTTTCATGTTAAGTAAGTTGAAATCTCCCTGGATGGAACAGATGCACAGAATAAAAGTCATGTCTGCTGGTGGCTCACGCTTATAATCCTAGCTGAGATCTGAGGATTGCAGTTCCAAGCCAGCCCAGGCAGCAAAGTCCATGAGACTCTTATCTCCAATGAACCACCAAGAGGCTGGAAGTGGCAAATCAAATAACTTTGAGCACAAAAGCTCAGTGCCCAGACCCTGGATTCAGGCCCCAGGATAGGCACACACTAAAAAATAAAAATAAATGATAGGTTCATGCCTATGATCCTAGCTACTCAGGAGGCTAAGATCTGAGGATGGCAGTTAAAAGCCAGTCAGGGCAGAAAAATCCATGAGACTTATCTTCAATAAACTACTAAGAAAAAGCCAGGAGAGGTGCTATGGCTCAAGTGGTAGAGTGCTAGCCTTGAGCAGAGGCTCAGGGACAGCACCCAAGCCCTAGGTTCAAGAAGCCCCAGGTCAAGCAAAAAAAAAAAAAAAAAGCCATGTGTGCCTTTTTTCTCTCTCTCTGCTTAGTGAGGCTTGAACTTCAAGGCCTTGATTTCTTGGCTTTCTCCACTCAAAGCTGGTGCTCTTCCACTTGAGCCATGCCTTCACTTCTGGTTTCTGGCTGGATAATTGGAGATAACCATGTTTTGCATAGTAAAATCTATTCTCCACCCTTTTTTCCACATTCAAATGATAGCAAACAAAAAAAGCAAAAAACAAAAAAAATACAGGCACCTAACAAAATCATTGAGTTTCTAGGTGACTTGACTGCAGCCTAAGCTGGGGTCTAGGCTGGATCCTCACCGCTCCAAGGACACAGACAGCTAGCTAGGTTGCCATTTTGAACTGGGTATGGCAGTGCCAACTGGAATGTTCACCTCCCAGGAGGCAGAAATTGAGAGGACTGTGTGGCAGAGCCAGACTGAGCAAAAAGAACTAGCAGCCCCATCTCAATCAACAAGCCTCTCTGGAGTCCAGCTGCATGGGAGGAGTAAGCTAGTGTGATTGTGATCTAAGGACAGCCAGGTCAAAGCACAGAGGAATGAGGTGAAGGAGAGTAAATATGGTTGAAGTTGAGAATGATAGAAGGGGTGACATTGATCAAGATGCATTATATTCATAAATTGGCAGGTTGGCTTGAACCCCTTTGTACAACTATTTAAAGATAATGAAAACATTTAAAAATGGTTGAAGTACTTTATATGCATGTGTGAAAAGAGAATAATGAAATCTACTGCATTCTTTTAGGAAAGGGAAAAAGGAGACGAAGGGAATGCATTTAATCAGCATACATTATATGCAGGTATGGAAGTGTCACAATAAAAACTCTACTTGTGAGAGTCATTGGAATATATCGTAAATGTATGTGGAAATGTAACCGTGAAATTCCCCTCTGTAGAGCTAATATAAACTAAGAAAAATGCTGGGAAAAGGGATAGAAAACTATAATCAGGAAAAAGTTTTTTTTAATTAAAAAAATAACAACCCCCCCCCACCATGTAGAACTAAGGCATGCTAATAAAAAAAAATAAAGGAAAAAAATGACCCTATTTCCCATAAACTAACGCCTTCTCTGTTTTCCTTTAAGCTAGTTTGCTTTTCTAGCATAAGCAATCAAATAAACTCTGATGTCTTCAGTACTGACTTGCAACATTTTTACACAGCTAAAACTGAAATAAAAAGAAACCACATAGGCAAACTCGATGAGTGAAATATAGAGACTGGACAAGTGAGACGAGATAGGTGCTCTGAGCAGATGGAGTGAAATGAGCATTTTGAACATAATTCACTCATTCAATAAGATTTACTGAGGGCATTTATTGGGTCCCAACAATGTATCAGACACCAAGGATGTAGAGTAAACAAAACAGAAGGCTCCTGCCTTCATCAGGGAAAATCAGATGTAGAAATAGCAGGTGCTAAGGAAGCTTCTGGAAGGAGAGAATTGGGAGCTATTCGTCTCAGGGATCCAGCGAAGGTGCACCCAGAGAAGACATTCAAATGGAGCTGAAGCTGAAAGGGACAAAGGGACTCTCCTCAGCCTGGGGTGCAAGGGTGATCATGAGACTGTGCCTCCAGAAGCGATTCTAGCAAGGGTGAAATCCCAGGGACACGCTTTGGGGAGAAAGCCACGCCCATTCTACTTCAGGAACAACCAGCCATACCATACACACACTTCTTACTCTATGTCACAAACCCCAACCCACTTCCACAGGGACAAACATGGAACAAAAATTTTACTGGAGAGAGCTCTCTGTCCAACTGATTGACGGCTGTGTCAATAGCATTGCTGATGTTCCAAATCAGATTGGAAGCACCAGAAGGACAAGGACTAAAGCTGCTGGTCAGCCTCATTTGTGGTTAGCAGGGACTTAGCACACATAGCATCATCCTGTCTGGGATGCTGACCATGAGAAGAAGGGGATTCCCAAAGGGTCTGGCTTCCCAAATGCCCTTTGTCCACTACAGTATCTAAGGGGAGATGCTTTCCAGCTCCAATACACAGCTACCCTGTAGCTTGATCTCGCAGTAGTAGCTGGCCGAGTGTCTCCAGCATACACAGGTGATATCTGAGACACAAGCTCAGATCGTAGAGCTACTGTAGCTCGAACCTGACTAGGCCATGCTCAGCAGTTGCAGTCTAGAGAGGATCATCAGGAAAGTCCAGCCCATAAAGGAAACCATTGTCAGTCCCAATTCTTGAATGTTGGATTCAAGCTACAGATAGAAGCATTCTGGTTGCCCAGCTGGGAGATCCAAGATGGCTGAGTTCAAAGGAAAGGATGACTCTCCAGTTCATGGAAGTGAGACACGAGTGTAGGAAGTCTCTCAGCACTTCCTCAGAAGAGGTGTGTGAGCCTGAATACTCCTTCCAGAAGATGCCTTCCTCTCAAACCCAGAGAGCATCTGCCCAGAGCAGACGAACAGCACACACATGCCATCTTGGGGTGATGGTTATTCTTTCCTTGGAGGGCGAGATTTTCTTTTGGTGGTACTTTTCAGAGGTTTGAAGGGACAGTGATGGAGGAAGAAGTATAAGATGGAACACGATGACGTGTCAAGAACTCCTTGCTAACCAGGCCGTGGGTGGCCAAGATCTTGAGGAATCCATTGCGGAAATTTTGGCCAATGAAGGCGTAGATGATGGGGTTGAGGCAGCTGTGGAGGAAACCTAGGATCTCAGTGGCCTCCATGGCCCGGTCAATGTCACTGCGGCGCTCACAGGTCTCTTCAATCATGCCGGTCCTCATGAGGGTATCTGCCAACAGGACCAGGTTGTAGGGCAGCCAGCAGAGCAGGAAGACAAGCACCACAGCAAAGATGACCCGCATGGCACGGTGCTTCTGCCCCGTCTGGGTCTTAAACAGTGTGCGCATTGTGAATCCATAGCAGAACAGCATGACCAGCAGGGGCAGGAGGAAGCCAAAGGTGTGGGGCAGGATACGTAACACCATTCGCCATTTGGCTGTATTATTGCCCAGGACCTCATAACAGGCTGGGCTTGAGTTATTTGGACTATAGGCCTCACGGAAGATAAAGAAAGGCAGGGATAGCAACAAAGACAGCCCCCAGATGCCCATACATATGAATTTCACCAAATGACGCTTCTGGGTCAGTGTGCGTGTGGCGTGGACAATGGCCAAGTAGCGGTCCATGCTGATGCAAGCCAGTAACAGGATACCACTGTAGAAGTTGACTTCCTTCAAGAGGGATACCACCTTGCACAGGGGTGTGCCAAAAACCCAGCCTTTCTCTTTGGCAGCTGCCCAGATGGGTAAGGTCAGGGCAAAGAGCAGGTCTGCTATGGCCAGGTTCAGCAGGTAGACATCAGTGACGGAGCGGCTCACCCGACTGTATAAGATGACCAGCATCACTAAGGAGTTTCCCAGAAGGCTTAGCAGGAACACCAGGGAATAGGTGACAATAACAATGTTCTTGTTGACAGTCTGAGGGTCTATTATACAGGGGCTGTACTCATACCCAACAGGTGGCATGCCAGTGAAGTTTCCAAAGTCATAATCAAAGTCCAGATCAGCAGCAGTGAAGATGAACTCCTTATTTTGGGTCATGGTGATATCTAGTTGAAAGAGTTGATGAGAAAAAAAAAGAGAGAAATTTAGTTACTGGGATAGCAATTGCTTCTCTGTTGCTTTGGCCACTGGGGATCACACAGATTCACACACACACACACACACACACACACACACACACACACACACACAGACACTTACCCTTCAACTATAGCTTCATTAGAAGTTGGCTTATTGGTGTTATGAACCTTCCAAAAGTCCAAGGCCCACCCTGAGTATAGATTACAGGGAAAATATCTTTCTTTGCCTTTGATTGGCTCAGCTTTACCCCCAGCTCTCTCTCTTCCCATTCTAGCCAACCCAGACATTTATGTGGGAGGACCAGGCTGCTCTTGTATAAAACCTAAATGTCTATTTAGGGCACAGCCAGTAGTCAGAAAAACGGGAAGAGAAATGCCTCTCCCAGCTCTCCCTTTATACTTTATTATGCCTTATGTGCTCCCTGAATCTTATTTACTCTTAAAATCTAGGAGAAGCCAGGAGCTGGTGGCTCAAGTTGTAGAGCACCAGTTGTGAATTAAAAAACCAAGCAACAGTTCAAGGCCCTGATTTCAAGAGCCAGTACCAGCACAAAGAAAGATCTACTGAGAGAAGGAAGAAATGGTGATCAATTACACTAAACTGCATGGTGCTCCTCAGCTTACAATGGAGCCCACCAGAGACATGGCATAAACTGAGAGTATCATATTCAGTACACCTAACCTATATCATAGTTTAGTCTAGCCTCCCTTAAATGTCCTCAGAAGATTATATTACTTGGCCAGGCACCAGTGATTCACACCTGTAATCCTTGCTGCTCAGAAGGCTGAGATCTGAGAATCACAGTTAAAAACCAGCCTAGGCAGGAAAGACAGTGAGACTCTTATTTCCAATTTGCCACCAAAAAGCCGGAAGGAGAACTGGGGCTCAAGTGATGGAGGACTAGCCTTGAATAAAAAGCTAAGGTGTTCCAAGCCCTGATCAAGCCTCAGTACCAGCAGCAAAAATAAATTACATTGCCGGGCGCTGGTGGCTCACGCCTGTAATCCTAGCTACTCAGGAGGCTGAGATCTGAGGATCGCGGTTCAAAGCCAGCCCGGGCAGGAGAGACCGTGAGA